CGGCTTCCATCCTCAGCACTGCCTAAATCAGGCATGGTGGTGCATGCCTATAGTTCCATCCCAGGGCTTATGAGATAGAAGCAACAGGACCAGAAACTCAAGAGCACGTTCAGTTCAAGTCCAATCTGGATATATGAGACCTCAGCACGGGTGGGAATTAAATAGATTTTCCCCAAAAGCTAGGAGTGGTAATGCACACCTCTAATTCCAGTACTTGGGAGGCAGAGGTAGGCAGATCTCTGTGAATTTGATCCAGCCTGGTCTATATATACTTCCAGGCTAGTCGAGGCAACATAATGAGACCTTGTCTCAAAAAAACAATAACAGCTGGGGCTGGAGCCGTGGCTCAAGAATTAAAAGCACTGACTGCTCTTCCAGAGAACCTGGGTTCAATTCCCAGCACCCACAAAGCAGCTCACAATTGTCTCTAACTCCAAGATCTGATACTCGCACAGACAAACATGCAGACAAAATACAAATGCACATAAAATAAAAATAAATAAATTATTAGAAACACAATAATCAAAACAGGGACTGTGGTGTAAGTCTCAGAGGAGGACTAAGCTGGAGGAGGGGGGCTGCTGCCTTGAGGGCCCCTTTCTTGGGGCCTGACTCAGCTCCTGAGTTAGGGGCAACATTCCATATATATATATGTAAAACCATTTACTACCATCCTTTCTGCAGGGGCTGCTGCGGGGCTTGGAGCTGCTGTCCCTGGACTTGGGGCTGGAGCTGCTGTCCCTGGATTTGGGGCTGGGGCTGGTGTCCCTGGATTTGGGGCTGGTGCTGGTGTCCCTGGATTTGGGGCTGGAGCAGGTAAGGAAAAATTCAAGAACTCGGTAGAAAGTGCCCTTGAGCTCAAAGAAAGAGGACCCATCTCCTCCCAGAACTCTATCCCTACCCAGCATCCATTAGATTCTCCTGAGTAGACAAAAGCAAATGAGTACCAGGTAGGATGGTACAGGCCTGCCATCTCAGCTGCTTAGAAGGCTGAGACATGAGGCTTACAAGTTCAAGACCAGCCTGCCCTGTAGAAAGGCTCCAAGGCTGGCCTGTATAATACTGTGAGATACTGTCTTAAGAAATAGATAGAAGCTGGGCGGTGGTGGCACACGTCTTTAATCCCAGCACTTGGGAGGCAGAGGCAGGCGGGTTTCTGAGTTCGAGGCCAGCCTGGTCTACAGAGTGAGTTCCAGGACAGCCAGGGCTACACAGGGAAACCCTGTCTCGAAAAAAAAAAAAAGAAAAGAAATAGATAGAAAGATGATAGATAGATAGATAGATAGATAGATAGATAGATAGATAGATAGATAGAACAGGGGCCAGTACAATGCTAACCTAGAATCCCCCAGTGAGGGGCTGGGGGTGTGGCTCAGTGGTAGAGCCCCTGCCTAGAATCCCCCCATGAGGTGCTGGGGGCGTGGCTCAGTGGTAGAGCCCCTGCCTAGAATCCCCCAGGGAGGGGCTGGGGGCGTGGCTCAGTGGTAGAGCCCCTGCCTAGAATCCCCTAGTGAGGGGCTGGGGGCGTGGCTCAGTGGTAGAGCCCCTGCCTAGAATCCCCCAGTGAGGGGCTGGGGGCGTGGCTCTACCACTGAGCCACGCC